GCTTTATAAATAGCACAGCTGTTACCTCTTGCATTTCAGGGAAACTCCTCCTGTGGGGGAGCCATTAAATAGAGGAGCGACTTCAGGGACCTGGAGGTGGCCAAGAGAAGTGTCAGAGAAACTGTGTTATGCATTTCTGTTGAGATGCTTACATCAGGGCTTACATATTGCAGCAAAAAATCGCGCTTACCATAGCTGTCCCTTCTCCATCTGTGACTTCTAAGAAGCAGCAACGTATGCGGGGAGCTGTAGACTTATCTGCATGTAGCAGAGAAAACAGTAATTTTGGCGATCTCACACGGCTGTGTCTGGCTTTAAAAACATCTCTTAAAGGCAATTTCTGGCAGTTTCTATCACAGCCCTCCTTCTTTCGTTTTTTAACCTTTTCCTACATTTTCTGTATGTTATGTTAGAAACAGATCCAAAGGAACTCTCCTGCAGAAATTGCCTTAAATAGCAGGAGAGCACTGAGGGAACAGCCCCAGTCACTGCTTCCCCAAAAGAGTTGATGCTGTAGGTGTGTATCCAGAGCGTGGTGGTATAAAATGTAAAGCTGCTTATCTGATCTAGCATTTGCACGGTTCCCTGTGACAGTAAGGAGGATATTATTATTATTATTATTATTATTATTATTATTATTATTATTGTAAAATAATAATTGTAAAGAAATAATTTGTAAAGAAATAATATGTGACCAGCATAAATGGAAAAACAAAAGATGGGTAAGAGTCATCATACAACATTGCTGACTTGAGCAAAAATTTGATTAGTTGTGGATTTTTGTGAGCTGGCTGTTTGAGTCTGTTTAATGCAATCTCTGAAAACAGCTCTGTGTAGCTCTTACAGTGACTGGCAATGGTATTTACGCAGCTCCCTAATCTAGGCGAGGAGAAAAACCTCCAGGCAGCTGTATTTTGAAAGGGCTGGTGAAGGGAAGGTTCTCCTTCATGCTGGGTGTGCTTTTTGTGTCCTGCCTGCCTGCCTAGCTGTGCTGATTGCTCCTCGTGTTTCATGGTGGTGTGAGGCTCCATCAAGCTGCCTCAGTCGCTGTGGCTGTCGTGCTTCTGAGCCGCCGTGTTTGCACAGCTCAGTACTCCGGTACACATGGATTCACCAGCACAAGAACCTCCGAGCTGTGCTTCGCTGCTTAAAGTAGTTATGCCCTTGGTTGGCTTGGTTGAGACAAAGATTTAAGACCAACAGAGCAACCATTTAATGTAGTTCTCACTTGCCCATTACTGGTTTCTTTATTGGGCCTTCCCCGCCTTAAGCATAGTGTTTAAGTCCTAAAGCTTACTGAATTTTCAGGTTCTGATTCTCAGATTTACTGTCTCTTTTCTTCCACCTCTACAGACGGGTTTCTTCTCTCCTTTCCCTGTCTTTACTCACCTTGGATCCGGTGCTTCAAAGTGTACTAACTGTACAAAACGTATGATTTTGGGAGTGTGGGGTGCTTGCATTTTGTTGCAAGGCATTCGTTTGACCACTGGAAACAGATTAATGGACTAACTGGATCACTGGTGAGAGTGCAGTGGGACCGTGACACTTTGTGTGTTACGGCAAAGCTGCCCGTTGTATTGGGAACTATTGGCACTCTGCAAAATAAAAATAATAGCAGCAGCAAGTGCAGGAACTCAAATATTTGCCATTTTTTGTTTAATACTAAATATAGATTCCTAGGGTTGGAGATTTTTTGTTTGACTTCTGTTGTTCGAGCGTCCTTTCCAGTAAATCCCCAGTGTTTCTTTTAGAAGAGTCCAGCTGATCAGTATTTCTGTCTGTGTATTGTCCTTCTGTTCATAACTCCCTAGAGGAGATGACATTGTTCAGAAAGTCAGATTTGGACAAAATCTTTAGAGATATTTGAGAGATGAGCAGTGGCAGGGATGAAAATGGAAATTGGAAAATTTTGAAAATTGAAAATTTTCCAAAATGGAAATTGGAAAATTTTGCACTGGAAATCTGGTAAGATCAATGTAAAGGGCTATGTGTGTCATGAACTGCTTTCTAAGTGGAGAAAACAAGGCTGCCACTACCTTGGTGGGGAATGTGAATGAAGCATTTCCAGCATGATTAAAAGGGGCCATTTCTTGTACTGCTACAAAACTGCCATCCAGTAAAATGTGCTGTATAAAGAAGCTCATGGTCAGCTGAATGTGTAATTTCTTCTCAGCAGATAACAAATCTGCGTATGTTTTTGTACAAATTCCAGCACAATGAGTTGGCTGAGATTCAGAAGTAGAGCTGTGTGAGATATTTTAATGACAACACTGAGATATTTTAATGACAACGCAGTGTTACTGGCAGGATGAATGAGTGCTTCTTGCACAGACTTAAAATAATTCCCGTTGTATATGTGCAGTTGCCCTGCAGACCTGACATTAAGACTCTCGGGTAAGCACAGTTGTACGAAGAGTTATGGGTCTGCACAATTATTTATATTTATACTTAAACATTTTTTTTTTCACGTACTAGGCCATGCAGGTTTTTTTTAGGAGTTTTGGTTTCATTCAGTGAAGAAGGAAGGGCACAGGGCTTTGTGGGGAGTGATATTAACTTCTGGTTGCCTCACTCAGGACTAGTACACTAGCAAGTAAGCTGCATTACCAACAGATAAATGTTCTGAAGGCATCATGAACAAAGGCTGAGAGAGCTGGTGATGTTTAACCTGAAGAAGAGAAGGCTCCACGGAGACCTTATTGTGGCTTTACAGTACTTAAGGGGGCTGATAAAAAAGATGGAGAGCAAATTTCGCTTGGTCAGATAATGACAGGACAAGGGGGAATGGTTTTAAACTAAAAGAAGGGAGATTTATGTCAGAGCTTAGGAGGAAATTCCTCGCTCAGAGAGTGGTGAGGCCCTGGCACAGGCTGCCCAGAGAAGCTGTGGATGCCCCATCCCTGGAGGTGTTCGAGGCCAGGCTGGATGAGGCCCTGGGCAACCTGACCTAGTGAGATGTGTCCCTGCCCACGGCTGGGGTTAGAACTGGATGGTCTCTAAGGTCCCTTCCAACAGAGCCGTTCTGTGATTCATGTATACTCCTACTGCTGCTTACAGATGTTCACATCATACAGAACTGCGAGTGTTACTTAGACCCATTATTGACAACTCTTAGATGAGAAGCCAAAGTTGAAATAAGAGCAGAGATTGGATTTTTTAAAGGATGTGGGTGTGATGGAAGTGGTGAAGATTTCGCCTTTGTTTCTGTTATAGCTGGAATGTCCGGCGTGATTACCAGTATCTAGTTATTCACAATATAACTTGATATTCCTTTTATTGTTTGATTAACATCATTGCCTTTAATATCTTCCAAGTTTTCACTAAGCCCTCTGCTTTATAATTTGACATTCCCAGGAAACAGGAGGCATCATCTGTCAGAAGGCAGGAAACATGCCATGATTAAATGCATTTCATTGTTTTCTGTGAAACTGTGCTCAGTTTCTCCCTCTTAATGTGGGCAGATGGAATTTTCAAGAGCTGTTGTTTTTAAACTGAAAAGATTTAGGGCTCGCTTTTATATATAATACTTGTGTACACACACAAAAAATATCTTTAAAATCCCCAAACTGACATGTTTTTTGGTGAAAAAAATAAAAATGATTTATTTATTAGCTGAAACATCAAGCTAGACAAACTAACTTGATTTGTTTTATGAAAATAAATACCAAGTTTTCTTCCTTTAGGAGTGAGCACCACTCATGTACTTTGTCGTGCTAAGATTTTGCAGGGAAAAGAGAAGGGTGCTCTACTAGAAATAGCAGCGGTAGCATTAATTGTTTTTGGCAGCCTTGCTTTGTTAGCTCTTCAGATCACACAGGAGGCAACTGTCCTGATGCCCAATGAATTCTGTTTGTAACAGCGCACAAACCACTTGCCTAACCCTTGCAATCCTTTGTGTTTCTGAGCATATCAGGGTGAATTCCTGCAGCTGGGACGTGTAGCTGCTGATTATTGCTCCTGTATGAAAGCTGCAGTCTTCTTCACGTAACTGAACAGGAGCTTCAGGTTCTTCACACTTGCCAGTGCAGCTAAGAAAATGAGAAAAACTGAGCACATTGATGGCCAGCCTGGGGTCCTGTTGTGTGCTTCTGTGGGCCACACCAGGCTGCTGGCAGGCTCACCCTAACCAGTGCAAAAGTGGCTGAAATACTTAACGTCTCCTTGAATAAACTGTGGAGAGAAACTGTCTTGCAAACAGGAATGAAAAGAAACACCTACATGCTGCTTGGCAATTGAAGCTGTTTTGTTTGTCTGCCAGCAAAAGCAAACGATGACTTCATATAGACAGAATTTCCTTGGGAAAATCATTTTGGGCCTGAAATTTCAAGTTATATGTGTAAAAAGGTTACTGTATCAAATAACCAATTATCATTTAGGCTTTGAGTCATTGTGATTTTGGATTAACAATCAGTATCATCTACATATGTGAATTTATTTCCAGATTCTGGATATGGCCATGTTTTAGAAATAATAATCTTTTGCATATCACAGAATGATGTTGGAACTTGGGTGAGATGTCCTTATATGAAGAGGTACTTGGACAATGGAGAGTTTGAATTAGGATTTGCAACTGCCAGGCATAAGTCTAGAGAAAACACTTTTTCAGGTGAAAACATGTAGCATGCAGTCAAATATATGGCAATATTTAATCTTAAGCTTCCCAGTTGTGATACAACATACCTGTGACTAGAGACCTAAAAAAGATGAAGTGGTGGACAGACCATGCTTTACAGAATAGCAAAGAAATTTGCCCCTTGACAGTACGTGCAACAGCAAAAAATAGATTAAATACAATTGTTTATTCACCCTTATTTATTTTAATTTCCTTTAATCCTGCTTGATGTGCTAGCTTTATTAAATACATTAATTGCTTGTGGATTGCAGTGTTTCCTGAGTGGGAAATGCCTTCCTGTAATTGTGCCATTCAGTTGTTGATCCCCATGTGCAAATGAAATCAAACGTGTGTGTGCTTATCTCTGTCCCTTCTGTGTTTGGTTTAAAGGTGATGATACAATGACAGGAGATGGAGGAGAGTACCTTAGGCCAGAAGACCTCAAAGAACTCGGAGATGACTCTTTACCAAGCAGCCAGTTCTTGGATGGTATGAACTACCTGAGGTACAGCTTGGAAGGAGGGCGATCTGACAGGTATTTGCCTGGACACGTGTTTTCTTATGGCAGTTCTACACACATTTTGTTGTAAGTGTTTGAAATTCCTTTCTCAGTGTCTCTAAATCAAGGGAGACATGGGATGCACTTGTCAAGATTTCTTCATTAGATAGGTCAGTGTGCCAGTCGCCACTTCGGAGGAGAAGGTGTGGTCAGGAGGAATATCTCCTAACCAGTCCAGAAACGAATACATCTGGCACTAATACTGTACTCAGAATCTAGAGAAGAATTTGTTTCTAATTCTTGAAAAAGCATGCCTTGCTTTATTGCCCTTGTGGTCAGGCAAAGGAAGAAGAGTCTAGCTGTGTATGGAAAGGGCTCACGAATCATCCCAATCTCCTGCCATGAGTGAGGGAATGGGTGGGTGGACAGGGTCTTTTAGCAATAGGTGAGCTGACTTTTTGGAGCAGTTCACGGGGAACTGAGATTCATTAAAAACAAACAATCAAACAAAAAACAACAACAAAAACCTTGGGATCTTGGCAACAGAAAGTATTTGTAGTGTGAAAGTATTTGAAAACTTCGTTTTCCAGTCTTGATTGTTATTCTGGCAGCATTTCTGAAGCTCAGTGGAATCAGTTGGATCCGTTCTGTTTACTTCAGTAGGCTGTGAATTGCTCCTGGAACAAAAGATGTCAGGAAACAGTTTAGTTTGCTTCACAGCATGTGTAAATCTCTCATCACTGAGGTCTTATAAACTCGGAGTCTTTGTTGGTTTTTAGACAGCTCCAGTGAATCTACTGAAAACAAAGTGACTGTGTTGCTTTTGAGTCTCAGAAGATGTTTATGAACTGCATCAGAGTGCTTAAAAATCAAACCCTTTTATTACGCTTTTTCAATGGTAACAACGTGGTTTTTTTTTTTTTAAGATGTTGTATGGAAGTGATTGTGCTGGCAAGTGTTAAGTCAGTTTTTGCTCTCACTTAGAATAATTTAACTTTTAAACACTGTCAATGGATTTCAGTAGATTTTCACAGCCATATAATTGATGTGTCCTATTTTGTGTTTTATGAAAGTGATTTCACATTATTTATCAGACATGGTTATATTGAAATGAAGCAAAATGATAAAGGCAGAAAGAATGAAAAAAAGGACATTTTCTAACTCCATGTGTCATTTTCTGTCACCATCAGGTTACTGGTTGTAAGAATTTTCAGACTGCTTGCATTAGTTTGGTTTTGCTTGTGATTTTCATTGCATCACACTGATGTTGGTTTTTCAAGAAATTCAGCAAAGCAAAATAATGTTAGCAGCCTATACTCACATAACTTTATGCATTAAACAATTTGATTTGAAAACATACATATTTTCTTCTGTTGTAACCATCTTCCCTATTTATTTTATTTCTCTCTCCCCTTCATTCTTTTTCATATGCTTTCATAGCACCATGCCCAGGTAGGTATTACATAGCATGAAAACGTCGTCCCTATATCCTTTCATGGCACTTGTCTCTCTTCATCCATTTTGGAGGCCTGCTGTGGGGCTGGAATGTTGACCTTAAGAATCAAATGAAACACGTTGTTGGAGGTGGTTGTAGTCTTAAATGAGTTTGTATGCAGAGGTAAATAAAGGTACCACAGTACTGTCTGCCTAGGAAGGTCACAGTGACGTAGCCACTTTCCCAGAGAAACTTCTCTGAAGCTACGTGAGATTGATCACAACTGGTAGCTGTCCTCCTGTCATCGTGCTGCTGGGAAAGTCAGCTGCTCTCATTTTTATGTGGAGAAACAGGGGTAGAATAAAAAAAAACAATAGAATTGACTACATGAGGTGGATTCTCCTGAATATGGAGAAAAAGAACTGATTCAGGCCACATTGGATCAGCGGTATTTTTGTGTTCCTTCCACCTCTCTGGCTCATGACTGCTGAGAGGAAGGCTTTCAGTCTGAATAGTGAAATGTTTTCAAGGCCAATTTATACAGTTTTCAATGATATCAGCTCTTTTCCCAAGTTTGTGAAACACCTTATGCTTCCCACAGTGACAGATACACTCACCTGGGCTAGAGATTGCCAGATCTCTGACTCGGCTGGAAAGTGGATGCGTACAATGGGGTCCTCTAGTCAACCAGATTAGAAACTGAGCTAAATTTTGCTGCTTAGTTTTGAAATAAAGTGTAGTAAAAAATTAAAGTAATTTGGTACAGACCTTAGTCGTGCTTGCGCACACCGTGTCTATTGAAGAAGTCCATGCTGTGAGTGCATTGGGTGTGTGCTGGAGCGCACACAGATGTGCCACGTACTGGATACGTTCTGGCCGTGGTGGTGGCAGTAATGCCAGGTACCTGCAGGAGAATACTGACAACATCAGTAAAACAGCCAAATCTAGGACATACTTCTGGTCATTTAGTCCCTGTCCAGGACATGGCATTAGCTGAATGGCAGAACCTACAACCTGGATGGTGAACTTCTTGCAAGCATTGCATGGCACAGCAAAGCAGTGCTGAAAGTGTTGAGTATTAAAAGTGATGAAGTGTAATGATGGCAAATGGGGTCTGCTACTGGAGCTCGCTTTCCACCCAAAGAACAAATGTTCACCAAAGTACTGTTGTTATGAGTAAACTACATGTACTCTGCCTGCTTAGTTCACCCTGAAATGTTTAACCAGAGTATCCTTCTGTCAAGAGTTCCTGTCATCATTTTTTTCTGAAATCATTATATGAAAACAGGGTGAACTACTTGAAATCAAAGTAAGTTTTGTTGTTTGTTTTAATGGAATCAGAGTTTTATTCCAGAAGTGAGCGATCCCAATAATATAAATATCAGCCTTACATGTCTGGGTGAAAGACATTTCATGACATGTGAGATTACTTGGTTGTGTTTTTTTTTTTTCTTTTCTCAAGACTTTTCTAACATTGATACTTGTGTAATCCTTACCTTTGCTTTCAGTTTTGTGCAATCCATCTGTTATGCTAAACAGGCATAACAATGGCATTGATCATTCTTCATTGTAATATATTTCTATTAATAAGGTTATAATTTGCTTTTAAAAATGGATCAAAAATTATTAAGTGAATTTAGCTATTGTTTAAAAAGGCTGATTGGTCTGAATCAGATACTAAAATCTGATTTCCATCAAGATCTGCATTTAAAGTACTTGAATCTCATGTCCACAACATAATCGTGATATTTTTATTGCCAACTACTGAAAAATTAATTATCCTTAAAAAATCTGCATGTCTAGATAAATGGCCTACTGTTCTGATCCCGCATGTTAGTCATTATGAGTACTACTCATGGGTGCGTAAGCCATGAGAATAAAACTGCTTCCTTCAGTTCCATGTGCTGCCTTCCTCAGGGTACAGAACAACATCACAGAGAGCACGTACAACATCTGAAGGTGGCTCATCTGTTTTTAAAGGTCACTATTGTAGTACTGCTGCTAGTAAATACTTATAAAGGACAAAACTCGTGAGATTTGGTAGCAGGAACCCCATTTACCTCAATATGTCCTTCTGTGGTGTCTTGTCTTTTTGGCTTTTTGCTCCTGGATGCTGCAGTTAAATTCTGAGCCCGTGCTTGGAAGCAGCTTATTTATTGCCTTGCATCCCTCATTGCTACAGCAACCAATGCTCTGTAGAGCTGCGTGTACTCACAGAGAAAACAGTGCTGACATTCGGACTGCTGCTCGAGAGATGCTGTTGGCATACAGAGGAAGAACCTTGTGTCGCACGGGAGCTTGTGGCTGGCCACAATTCACCTTGCTGTGTGTATCTTCCAGGGGACAGGATCAAGCCTTACACATTTACAGTTTTAATGGGAGAGAGTAGGCAATTGTCATTTCAGCTTTTCTTCGGGTGTTAGCATTCTGTTTTCTGTAGTAATTTGTTTGCATTATGAAGCAGGTGAGAAAACTCCTCCAAGGAGCCTTACTGAAAAGGAATTCATGCTCCTTGCAATAAGGAAATGATTATGCCAGAAAGCCATTTGTGAATATAAACTGTCACCTAGACTCATCTCCAGGTTCTGTGTTTGGGGCAAACAAAAGTCAGCCAAAAGACTTCATGGCCCTTGGTCAGAAAGGTGGCATACTGGATTTGTAAAGCTGTTTTTCCCCCCATGACTATTACATACTCCCCCTGGAAGCTGCATGATATTGCTAATAGCACGCTTTTTTTCATTCTCCCACTCGTTCTCTCATCACACCTTTCCAACATCATCTGTACTGCTGATCCATTGCTATGGCATCCTACCAACCTACCAGCCTGCGGTCCTTCAGTTCAGACAGGTCTCACACGCTGAGCCATGCCTCCTACCTGAGGGACAGTGCCATGATTGATGACACGGTTGTAATCCCCAGCCAGCAGGTAAGCGGTCTCTTTACTTCACTCACCAGTTGGACAAATATGGAAACATAAAAAGATTGCTGTTTGGATTGTAGTAATGATGCCGTGTAGTGCATGCTGCTTGTCTAGTGTAATACAAAGCTCTTTAATTTCAGTTGATATTTAATGGCAGATTGTACTATATGCAGTATGAAACTGTTCCAAGATAAATGGCTATGCTGAGTGAATGTAGTACAGGATCTCTCTTTATAACGTTCTCCATTTTAACTTGTTTTTGAATGATGCTAATAGCCATTGGGTCAAATATTCAGGCGATCTAACGAACTGGAGGGCATTGTCCTCAAAGATAATATTGTGAGGCATGCCTGTAAGTTAAAAAAATAATGATTAGGAAATGCCGCTTTGATAAATCACATCATTCATTTCAGTACGAGCACTAACAGATATGATTACTTTGGGCAAGTGTAAAATGTTACAGTAAGTAATGTCTCCAATATGCTTATGCTATTATCATTCACTTGTTTTCTTTTGAAGTGTGTAAACACTTTAGGCAGTACTATGAAAAATACATCTTCTTGTTTGGTTGATTAATTGGTTTTATTGTAGTATAAAGCAGGGCTTTTTTTGCTTACAAAGGTAACGACGTTGGCCAAAGAAGTTGAGAAGAATTCATATCGCTTAAGCTGGGGTCCTGAAAACTTGGACAATGTGGCTCTTTCTTCCAGCCCTATTCACTCAGGGTGAGTGTATCAATTAGCATTATCTCTTTTATTTTATTAAAAAAAAAAAGAGGGAGAAAGAGAATATCAGCAGTAGCAGCAGCTTCAACTAATTCTTAACTAGGAGATATATTATAAATTCATTTTCTGCTAGAGCTGTCAATAAATTACTACAGTCAGTTACATTCTGATAATCAAGTAAATCTAAGCACCAAGAATATCCACTGAAAGTCAGTGAACTGATGCCAGTTAGCTTTCAGTCAGGTTCAAGAGACAGAAGATAATAAGATGCATACACACTTGCATCTGTATAAATTTTATGGAAAAAAGTCATTTTTAAAGTTAGTAATAATTGAAGCCAAGGGCCTCGTGAGTTCAGAGGGCAAGTTAATTCCTGTGCTAGTGGATTGTGCAAGCACCGACTCTAGTGTTTGTCAGAATTACTGATAAAGAAAAAATACAAGGATTTTAAATTACATGAAGCCTGTAATAGACAAGCCACCCAAACATGAGGTGCTTTACACACATCTGGCCATAATGTTCATATATTCTCACACTTCACTTTCTGTAAGTGTTTACATTCGGGCATAGTTACTGGAATGGAGTAAGACCGGACGAAATGCAGGCCCAGCCAAATTCGTACTAATAAAGCTTATCATGGTTGGCCTCAAAATCTGTGCATGCAATTGAGCGCTCTTGCTTACTGCGTTTGAAGTAATTTTATACTTTACACTGAGTTCTACACTTGTGTCCTGCCATCAGGTTTGACGAGGCACGTGCGGATGAATTAGTAATCAACGTCATACAAAAGCATTTCATTTCTGTGGAGCTGTGTTGTTTGCAGAATGGCTGCACATTGCTAAATGAAAGATTTTTTGTTAATCTCAAATGAGTTTGCAGCAATCTGACAGTCTGTGTCTTTCAAAAATAACACCGGTGTCCCATGTGGAATGACAGGCAGTCCTGGTCAGAAAGAGGAACAGTATGGTCATAATTGCATTTGCGATTTGACTCATTCGTGGCTTATATGAGAAGTTAGGTGGTAGCAGAATTTTTAGCTGTGGACAGTATTGTTTGAATTTGCTTTTTTTGAGCTCAAAAACTAACAAATGAAATGAACATGCTTGACTTGTACAGGATATATATGTTAATATCTGTGTCAAGACAGAAGCTTTAAAATTGTTTTGGTGGTTTATGCTAACCCTAAATAGTTTACAGACTTTTTCCAAAGGATGTATGACTTTTCACTTACACAGAGGTAGGTCTTTCTGGTTACTGCAGAGTATGAACTAAATACTTTTAGAAGAGCAGCATTTATTTCTAATTCAAAAAAATAATATTAGTGGTTTAGATTTTTTTTGGTTGACCAGGATGCTATCAGTAGGATAAAAATAGTTGATTTATTTAAGAAAAGCAACTCTCTGTAGAGCCTTGTATTAAATAGTGACATTTAGCACAACACAAATTATGTGCTTTTTATATATTCTAACTAACCTGCTGCTAAATATTGTTATAAAGAAATCTATAATAACAATTAGCCTTTGGAAAAGACTGTACACTTCATTTTTATCTTGCTTAGATTTGGCTGAGTTATAAACTGTTGGGGTGCATCTTGTTTACATCTCTTTTTTAGGAAAATATATTGCCTAAATCTATTTTTATCTTCTTATCTTCTTTTTATCTGCCATAAAAGAAGACTCCTAGTGCTTGAGAAGAAATGCTATATAAACATTGTTAGTAGCTTTAAGCAAAAACCTTGTTTTTGCTGAAGACATTGGAAATGTATTGAATTTTTCATGAAGTAATACATCAGCAAAGTATTGGACAGCAATTTATTTGGCACAGATGATCTTCATTTTGTATTCTGTGCAGTCTGAGAAAAAATTGACGCTCTTCTCTCCCTGCACTACTTCAGTGGCAAACACCACGTTGTAGAGTTCTTATTGGTCTCCTATTGTAGGGAAGTGTTTCTGTGGATCATGGTGTGACATCCCCAGTCAAAAGGCTAAATGTATGGAGAACTGTTCTCTGGGTGCGGTATCTCACAGGAACATATTTCAACCTTTCCATAACTAACCAAAACTTCTCCTAGGTGTGACGTTTCAGAAAGGGAAAATGTTTCAACCATTCATGTAAAATTTAAATGTAGCTGTTGTTTCAGTAGGTTAATAATTTTATCAGTATGGCATAAAAGACAAAATCTTTGTTCAGAGACTTTGGCAGCCATTTCAAAACCAAGAAAATAATTGTCTCATTAAATGTAACACTCTTGGTGCCCACAATCTCAACATAAACAGCTCCTGGTCATTTTTACACAATTACCTATTTTTGATTAGTTCCATATGCAATACAAATTCCTACATTTAAACTTCCTTTCAGCAAATCAGATTTGCTTCTGCTAATAAAATTAACCGATCTTACGTATTCAGCAAAAGTCAGGATCCATCGATAAACCAGGAAGTTTGGATGCTAAATACCCACTAAGGTAGAGTTTTATCACGGCTGGTAATATTAGGGGATATTATGTATGATTTCCTGCTGAAGCGTTAGGAGAGACAGAACTAACGCCTACATCGATGTAAGTATGTTTCACAGCTTTAGTCTCATATCCTACTGTGGAAGAACACAGTCTTTTCATTAAGTTGGAAGGCAAAACAAGCACTGAACTGAATGATTTCTTTCCACTTGCAGCATTTAGGGCTTGCTTGCCAGTATGATATTCCTAGGTCTGTATCACACGTGGTGGTTAAGTGTGAATGGTAAAGATAAGGCTGACTGTAAGATTTTAAAGGATAAATTATGTGCAAAATTATGCCATTCTCATACCTGGGTTCTGGCGATATGGTGAACAAACTCTCTCGATTTAGTTCCATAGATTATATTCTAAGTATTTTCCTGAGAAATATCTAAGGTGTGGTAGATAAGAAGAAGGGCAGATTTGTCATACTGGCAGAAACATGGCACTGAGAGCAAGGAGCTTTGAGTTGACGCTCAGATGTTAGCTTGCTTTTGTGTCCAGAGCAAGAAACATAGCAGCTCTACTGTTTCTCCAGCTAATTTGCTGTAAAACTCCTATTTAATGAAAAATACTGTTTGCATTTATTTAATTTGATGAAGAAGAGATTAACATATCTGACTAATAGATGTTCCAAGTTCATCAGTATTTGCATCTGACAAACAGTTGGGCTGTTAGTGAATTTTCCTTTCTGGAAGTTTTTGCTTCCATCAAGGAAAAAGGGAGAAGGACAAGGGAGTTGGCAGCTGAACTGTGACAAATAATGTGAATTATCATTCTTAGCTGTCTGTCTGCAAAAAAGGAGACTGGATCCTTGCTAACAAGGTAAACAAAATGTATTTCAAGTGTTGTATTTTGAATCCATAATATTGTTTTCCCCAATGTGACGTTCATTTCCTAGAAATAGTTATGGAAACAGGACCTGGCAGCTACCAGCTGATAGTCATTTCTAAAATCTGAAAGTCTAAATGATTTCAAATTGTGTTCTAGCCTTATTTGGGAAGCCATAATAAGGTAAAATTGCAGTTTGGGTTCATTAATAGTAAATCTCTGTTCATGTCAATGGAAGAAAAAGGCAATGAAAATACAGATAACAAGCAACACCAGAAAACTAACTGGCCATGACACATTACTGAGAGCCTAAACAGCTCAAACTGAAAGTTTAAAATCTGTCATTCTGCAGTACAGAACAAAAGGAGGACAAGAAACATGTTGAAATGGAAGAAAGTGGAGGATTGAACACATTGATAGGAAATTGGAAGAAAATAATGATTTCTTGAGTTACCAGAAATAGTCTGGAATGACCTTTGATACATCCTTTTGATCCATCATTGTCCACATTTATGTATGGATAACTACACTAAGCGACCTGTGGTTTGTTTCTGAAAGGTTTAGAGTCAAGTTGTACATTTTATGTATCTGACTTGCAGTTTGAGAATGTATGTAGAGAAAGCTATCGCTTTAGCTTTACTGCTGTAGTAGTGGTAACAATGTGTAGGCTTATTTTCCATACCCACTTCTACCTTCCTGCATGTAATGAATACCTATATATATGTATACGTTCATATGTTTAATTTAGAGATCTATTTTATTTTTCACTATTTCATTTAACTCATTCTTTTTTTTTCCATTTCTTTTCTTTCTTGATGTTAAATCATCTATTCTATTGCAGATGCTCTTCTCCATGTCTTGATCATGACAACAGCAGGTGAACTTCTGCATAATTTCTTTCTTTAATATATTGCACTTCTCACCCCATATTTATCCTCCTCTCTTACCTCACTTCAGGATGCTTTAGTGTTTTGATAGTGCACACTGGCCAAGAGAAAAAAAAAAATCTACTCTGACTGACTAGCAATAACAGCATGGACCTATTTCTCTTCCTTACAGGTCCACTGCAAACAATCTTAACAAACCTCTTATACATTCCTAGCTTGTTTTAACCCTTGATTTACTTAACATTATTTTTTCTCGATCAGTAACATGGTTTAATGTTACTAAAAAGGAAGGAAAAAAAAAAACAATAAAAAATGCAACACAAACCACTGTAAATAGGTCTAGTTTCAACTGCCATTTTACAGGAGGCCTTTTCTCTCACCTGTCGCTATAGACAGTATTGCAAACTCACTCCCTAGACCATATTTTCGAAATAGTACTACCCTGTTGGAAATAGCAACAGCACTGTATTGAAAAAATGAAAGTTGACCCCCTATATTTAATTTTTCGTACCAAGGACATGTGTGTGACCTTGTTTCTATCACTGGCACGTTGCATCCTGCACAGAGCACCTGAAGTGGGACCTTCCCAAAGGCAAATGTCTTCACTTAGCACACTAGGTGTTTGTTGGCACGGTACTTCTTCATTTCCTTTAACATAACCACAGAAAAGCGTAAAATTTCTAAAATACTCAGCTGTGTAAAATTATTAAGCGGCTAAGTAAAAACCCAAACTACAAAAGCTTATTTTTAGGGGATGCTACTCAATCTCTGCTGTAGCTGACTAATGC